ATTATAATTTATATTTTACTTTAAATTATAGTATTTATTTATTAAATTATATAGTCTCTATATAATAAAGGGTACTTTAAAGTATATTACTGAATATATTTATAGAACCTCTTTTAATTTTAGTAATATATCTGAAATAAGTTTAAACCTATAGGGTATTTATAGGGGGGGGTAAGCTGAGCTTTTACGGAGGGGTAAGATGAGCTACACGCCGCTCTCTACCCAGCCAGCAAACGTGGGCGAGCTGGCCCTGTCGCGCTTGTACCGAAACCGCCTAGCCACGGGTACTCTGGTACCTCTCTGCCGCCGTTTTGCAGTGAGCCAAAGAGCCCCAGAGAGCATTCAAGGGCGTCTTAGCTTGTTGGGCTGGTCCAACAAGCAGGGGTGCACTGCTGCTTCCCCCCTGTCCGCTGCCCGCCAGGTCCTTCTGCTTCCCGCTCGTATCGTCCATCAACCGACCTTACCTGTGCCAATATTCCGCCCCATTCGTTCGTCGCTTTCCTTACACCCTCGTCGTCATCTTTACACCACCTCACTTCAAGCCCGAACCCTCCCGTCCACTGTCTGGTCTCTACAGCTGAGCGGAACCCACGATACAAGAGACCAGGAGGTTGTTGCACATCGCATCTTATCCTTCACAAGGTCTGCCTTCCTGGCTCTGCGAACGCACACCTGCGCCGTATCCAAGACTCCTCCCCGTTGCAAGGGCGTAGCTTTACAGTCACCATGCAATACGTTCGCAACCTCAGCGCCTCCGTCTCCTCGACATGGAACTCCATCAACCCGGCCACTTTGAGTGGCGCCATCGACGTGATTGTCGTTGAGCAAGAAGACGGCACCCTGGCTTGCTCGCCTTTCCACGTCCGCTTTGGAAAGTTCTCCCTCCTTCGGCCCTATGAGAAGAAGGTCGAGTTCAAAGTCAACGGCGTCAAGCAGGACTACTCCATGAAGCTTGGAGAAGAAGGAGAGGCCTTCTTCGTTTTTGAAACCAGCGACACTATTCCCAGGGATCTACAAACCTCGCCCTTGGTATCCCCAGCATCAAGCCCTCCCCTGAACCCCGAGAACCCCTCCTCCTCCGAACTAGGCGAACCGGATCTGCTGGACTTGGACTCCGAAGACAAGAGGCCTAGGCGTCCTCCTCCTTCAGTCATCCACAGCGCAACTCTCCCTCGGGACCACGGTTGGTCTCTTGCCCGTCTTCTGGTGACCCCAGGCGCACATTCACAAGCTAACGGTTCCAGGCATTCTTACCCCGTTATCCACATCACCAGACCTCACCCACGGACGACCGAGATCAGACGACTGGAACCACCGTCCCTACAGCGACGATGTTTTGCGCAAGTCGGCTCGTACCAGTGACCGTGAGTACGGCGAAAGCTCTGCCGATTTTGCCATGTCCGAAAGATCGCAGAGTCCTCCACCTTTGGCAGCAAAGGATGCTGTCGAGCGGGCGCGCATGCTCTCCAAGGAGCTTTCCGCCAACAACATTCCCACTCGCGTGACCGAAACGGGCGACCTCATGCTTGACATGACCGGTTTCAAAAGCAACGAGGAGGATATCTTCCGTGCTGAGATCCTTGCACGCAAGATCTTGTCTGAAGAGCTTGAAGGCAATTACGATATTGGTTCCCTTTTTGGTATGGACGAACATGGAAATATCTGGATCTACAGCAGCGAGGAGGCGAAAGAGGCAGCCAAGAAGAAGACCATGGAGGCAGGCTACCGGCCAACGGTCATCGCAGCTGATGCTGCCTCGGACCCGGGATACCAGAGCGACGGTAGCGATGTGACGACTACAGCGCCTACTCCGATCCACAGAAGAACTGAGTCGGATGTCGGCGCCTCTGGCATGCAGACTCCTCCGACCACTCCGCCTCAATCGTCAGCCGGAGACCCAAACCTGAACTACGCCAAGACGCTGCGGTTGACTAGCGATCAGCTGAAGGCGTTGTGCTTGAAGCCCGGTGAGAACAGTATGAGCTTCACAGTCAACAGAGCGACGTGTAACGCCAACATGTACCTGTGGAGACATGAGGTGCCTGTTGTCATCTCGGATATCGACGGCACCATCACCAAGTCGGATGCGCTGGGTCATGTTCTGAACATGATTGGCAGGGACTGGACGCACGCTGGTGTTGCTAAACTCTACAGCGACATTGTCGCAAACGGTTACAACATCATGTACCTAACTAGTCGATCAGTGGGACAGTCCGATACCACCAGAGCATACTTGGCTGGCATTCAGCAGGGAGAATACCGGGTTCCGCGCGGGCCGACAATTTTGTCCCCGGACCGGACTATGGCCGCACTCCGTCGTGAGGTGTACCTCCGGAAGCCCGAGGTATTTAAGATGGCTACCCTTCGTGACATTCGTCACTTGTACGGTCGGGAACAGACGCCATTCTACGCTGGATTTGGAAACCGTTTGACGGACCAAATTTCGTACAGAACAGTGGATGTTCCGAGGAACCGCATCTTCACGATCAACTCCAACGCCGAGGTTTCTCTTGATCTGCTGAGCTTGAACAAGCTCAAGTTGAGCTACATCAACATCAACGAGGTTGTCGACCACTTCTTCCCACCTGTTAGCACTCTCGTTAAGGGTGGTGGAGAAGAGTACACAGATTTCAAGTACTGGAGGGATACTCCATTGGAGATAGATGAATTCTCAGCAAGCGACTCTGATGATGAGCAGGCCGACCTAGAAGAAGACGCCGACGACGATGACGAAGACATCGGTGACGAGATGGGCCAAAGCTACATCTCGAGAGGCTCCATTGATGAATACGGTGACGAGCGAGAGAGCATCCTCAGCGGAAGCGTCGACGGCGACGAGCGGATGACGGCCTCCATGATGGAGGACGAGTACGCTGACGACGAAGACGCCGAAGACGAAGATGAAGAGGACGATGACGTTGACGAAGCGGACCTCGATAGCGTGCGAGCGCAGCGCGAGCGAACACCTCAGCCCAGCGGCAAGGAAAACCAGTCTGCTCCACCCACCCAAAAGGTGCTTATGGAAGACGTCGGCGCTGAGTTGATCACAGGGGTAAATCATCTCACCCTTGAAAAAGGTGTGCAGAAATAGTGTGCTAAAAAGGAGGAACAGGCCGCGGTGTATAACCCTAATGTTACTTCTACAGGCGCGAACTAATATTGCGATTCGAACTTCTGTACTATACCGGGGGCTTTTAGAAGAGCGGTTTGGGGAACAACAGCATGGTTGGTTGGATGGATTCGCGGACGGGCATTACTTTGCATAGCGGAAGGCGTTTGAATTGGTGCTTTTACTGTAGTGTTTACAGAATTGACACTACCTTTTCCCACTCAGCGATCACAAGCTCTGAATCAGCAATCACAAGCTCTGAACCACATGCGTGTAATTGTGTATGTTCTGCTTTGTTTTGATTCCTATTTTAATCTGATGCCTGCGCAGGCCCCGATTCTTCTAGGCGTTGCGTTCCAAATGCTAAGTAATAGCCGTGTTTGCCCAAAGCTCCACGGCACCTCTCCTTCCCCCGAGTCTGGACGCGCAGTTGCATCCACACCGGCTAGTTTCCAATTGACTGCCAGTCAGTAGCCTGACGCAAAAGCCACTATGCCTGGATTGCCTTCTGATGCCGAAGTTCGGACTAATGGCGCGATCATGTGCGGGATGTGTGTGATGATTGGTACCCTTTCTAAGACGTCCCTCCCATGTCCGCATCTTCGTTCACATCCTTGCCAAACACATCCTCCATCGTGCCTCCCTCGACGCCGTCTCCGCCAATATCCTCATCCGCAGCGTCGTTCTGGTTGTTCGTCGTCTCCACACCCTCCATGGCACCTGCACCAGCGTCGTCCTCTTCCTCTTCGTCGTCCTCGATGCCGGCCTCCTCCCAGACATCTTTCAGGCCCCAGCTGACGCCGCTGAGCACGAAGCGCTCGCTCGGCAGCCTCAGGCCCCACTCGTTCTGCGCGACCTTGGGCAGCTGGACCTTGTTCCGCTCGCGGGCGAGCTCCTGCAGCCAGTCCTTGGACACGCCTCCCGCGCCGCCGCCCCCACGGAACTGGTATCCCAAGCGCGCCGAGATGGCGAGCTTGACTGCGTTGGCGGTCACGGCAGCGTCACCCGTGCCGGCGGCGGCCGCCGCGGCACCGGCCGTTGGCTTGGAGCCGGCCTGGGCGACGTAGGGGTCCCCGGAAAGGTAGATTGCGTCGCCGAGGATGCTCGAGGTGTGGCGGTATGCGAAGTCGAGGAGGAGGAGGGGCACGCGAGCCTCGTACGACGTGACGCCCTGGGAGGTGAGGAGGAGCTCGATCATGCGCGAGTCGCGGGGGCGCGGGGCCGATGCGTTGCTCCCGAGGGGATTTGATGAAGATGACTGCTGCTGGTGTTGCTGTTGCTGCTGCTGTGCGTTTTGGTTGTTTGGTTGTTGCGATTGCGCTTGTGTGGTGGATTGCGTCGGTTGGGACTGGGAGGGCGGCTGCGAGCCTGTCGTGGCTGCGGTCGCTTGCGTGTTGTTCACGGTTTGTGAGCTGGAGGCGCCTGAGGAGGCTGGCACGCCGTTCGTTTGCGGGTCGGACGATTGTGAAGCCATGCTGGCGATGCTGCCTGGCAGCGACGGCGGCAGAGAGGGACGGTGTGATGGTGTCGCCTCTTGCGACGGGCCGGGGTTTGATGGATGTGGCCGTCGACGCGTTGAGGTCCTTCCGTTCTGATGAATGTGAAAATCGTAGTAAAGTTGGGCGATCTGAAATATGAAGAAAGTTGCGATTGGATGGCCTCGTTTGAATTAGTATATGTCCAGGTGAATGAATAGTCGTCAGGGTCGATAAGGTAGTCGCGGTTGGGTCGCTCGTGGAAAGAGCTGCCCACAAGGCTCAGCTCAGCGCGTTCGTTAGCCGTTTCCGCGCTATGGAGTCCGGTACAGCTCTCGTCAAGTGCTGCCCGGGGTTGTCAGCGGCGCGAGGATTGATCCGCTCCGTGTCTTCTTTTCTCAAGCGCACTGACCATAGCTTAATCCCACATTGGACAGGGGGTCTCAACGGGCAAATCGGCTGGGCGTGGATTGGATGACCTTCACTACAGGGCAGACTTCCATGCATGGAGGGGCAATTTGCATTGCTGCCCCACCATAACACCCGCCCACGCCGATGCAGGACCACCCCGACGCTGGAGTGGTGGTGTCACACTCTGAGGATTTTTACTTTTAGCGGCGGGCCTTCCCTGAATTGAGTCACCAACGAGAGGATCTTATAGAGTGACATTCCACTTTCCCAATCCATTGACTCGGGCTACTTTTCAACCACCTTTCCGTGTCCTTGAACTTCCTTATCCGTTTGCTTCCCTGCATGTGAGAAACCCCTCACCAGATCAGAAAGCAGCTGCCCGCCATGGAGACCACACTGCCTTTTCCTTTCCTTATCAGCGTGGCCGTCCCGCCCGGTCTGGCAAACCTGGACGGCCTCGACCGCGAGCAGGTCTCGGTGCTCGGAGCCCCCTTCTTCGAGGCCAATGACCAGACCCTGGAAAAATTCCACCGCTTCCTGAAGCAGCATAATGCGGAGTTCCGCGGTTACTTTGACGTAACCGGCATCTCCTCAAGAGACGACGTTGTCTCTCTCCTCGACGCCGGAGCCCGCATGGTCTTTGTCGCCCCGGAGAACCTCTCTCAGTATGAGGAGTTCGGATCCCGGGTGGGCTCCGTCCTCAAGACCGCCGACGTCTCTACGTCAGCCGCCTCGAAGCACGCCGTCCTCGTCAAGGACTTTGATTCGACAGTGTGCGACCTGGGCGCCTTCATTGAGCGCTGCAAAGTGGAAAAACTTCCCAACCTTTTCCTCAAGCCGGTCCCGGAGACTACCCTGGAGCACTTTGTCGACATTGCCAAGCAGTGCAACGCCATCCCCGTCTTGCCTTCAGACGGCCTGACTGCTGCCAAGGAGGACTCGAAGAAGCTTTCTCTCTCCAAGCTGATTTCTTCATTCTGGAAGTCGGATAGGCCTGACGGTCTGATCCCAACCGTTGTGTGCGACGAATCGGGCACCGCCCTGGGACTTGCGTACAGCAGCGCTGAGAGCGTTGGTGAGGCCGTTCGTACACGGACCGGCATCTACCAGAGCCGCAAGCGTGGTCTCTGGGTGAAGGGCGCTACGTCTGGGGATACTCAGGAGCTGGTCCGCATCGGCCTCGACTGCGACAACGACACCCTCAAGTTTGTTGTTAAGCAAACCGGCCGTTTCTGCCACCTGGACCAGCACGGCTGCTTTGGCGACCTCAGCGGCATCCCCCGTCTTGAGCAGACTCTTCAGTCTCGCAAGCAGTCTGCTCCTGCGGGATCTTACACCGCTCGTCTCTTCTCGGATGAGAAGCTCCTGCGCGCCAAGATTATGGAAGAAGCAGAGGAGCTCTGCGATGCCAAGACCAAGGAGGAGGTTGCCTTCGAGGCCGCGGACCTGATCTACTTTGCCCTCACCAAGGCTGTCAGCGCCGGCGTTAGCTTGGCTGACATTGAGAGGAATCTCGACGCCAAGGCATTCAAGGTCAAGAGGAGGACGGGTAACGCCAAGGGCAAGTGGGCTGAGAAGGAGGGCATCCAGACTACTCCCGCTCCTGCCGCAGCACCAGCACCAGCCCCGACACCTGCTGCCAAGGAGAAATCAGAGGAGAGGATAACCATGCGCAGATACGACCTTTCCAAGTCTTCGGCTTCTGAGATTGATGAGGTCCTGAAGCGCCCATCGCAGAAGTCTCCTGACGCCATTCTGAACATCGTCAGGCCCATCATCGATGAGGTCCGCAATGGAGGCGACAAAGCAGTCTTGTCTTACACCCACAGGTTTGAGAAGGCTACTTCTCTGACCTCCCCCGTTCTCAAGGCTCCTTTCCCTAAGGAGGCTATGCAGTTGTCTCCTGAGTCTATCAAGGCCATCGACATCTCATTTGAGAATATCCGCAAGTTCCACGCCGCGCAGAAGGAGGACAAGCCCCTGAAGGTCGAGACGATGCCTGGCGTTGTCTGCAGCCGCTTCTCAAGACCGATTGAGAGAGTCGGTTTGTACGTTCCTGGTGGCACTGCCGTCCTGCCCAGTACCGCGCTGATGCTGGGTGTTCCCGCCATGGTCGCCGGCTGCCAGAAGATCGTCTTCGCGTCTCCGCCGCGTGCTGACGGTAGCCTTACCCCCGAGATCGTCTACGTCGCCCACAAGGTCGGTGCTGAGAGCATCGTCCTTGCTGGCGGTGCTCAGGCCGTTGCTGCCATGGCCTATGGCACCGAGAGCTGCACCAAGGTCGACAAGATTCTCGGACCCGGAAACCAGTTTGTCACTGCCGCCAAGATGTTCGTCAGCAACGACACCAATGCCGGTGTGAGCATCGACATGCCCGCTGGCCCCTCTGAGGTTCTTGTTATCGCCGACAAGGATGCCAACCCCGCCTTCGTTGCCTCCGATCTGCTCTCCCAGGCAGAGCACGGTGTTGACAGCCAAGTCGTGCTCATCGCCATTGACCTGAACGAGGAGCAGTTGCAGGCTATTGAGGACGAGCTTCACAACCAGGCTATGGCTCTGCCCCGTGTCGACATTGTCCGCGGATCCATCGCCCACTCCGTTACGATCCAGGTCAAGACCGTCGACGAAGCCATGCGCATCAGCAATGACTACGCTCCCGAGCATTTGATTCTCCAACTGAAGGACGCCGAGAAGGTGACCGAGCAGGTCATGAACGCCGGCAGTGTCTTCATCGGCGAGTGGACGCCTGAGAGTGTGGGCGACTACTCTGCCGGTGTCAACCACTCTTTGCGTAAGTTTACCTACTTCCTATATGATCTGTGACGTTTTCTGACCATAGTGCAGCCACATACGGATACGCTAAGCAGTACTCTGGAGTCAACCTTGCCTCCTTCGTCAAGCACATTACCAGCTCCAACCTGACGGCCGAGGGTCTGCGCAACGTCGGCGATGCTGTTATGCAACTAGCCAAGACCGAGGCCTTGGAGGCTCACCGCAGAGCTGTTGAGATCCGCATTGAGCACATGAACCGCCAGTAAATATGGACCGTACAAAAAGGAAAGGGTCGGGGTCAAATATGATGTCATGTAGTTATACCAGAAAAGTCATTGGATATAGAAATTGAGTTATTTTTTTCTTCCGAATATGGCTGATTTGATTTATGACGATCCCACAACCCTGTACAGTGTCTGGTTCAACTCATCATCTCTTTGATTCCGTCCGCGTTGGGCAGGTAGAAGGTATGCGCCGGTGTCAAGTGGCTCCACATCATGAGGTGAACCTTGGGCTGTCCTCCTTCCCTAGGGGATGTGGACCGTTTTGAGATCTCAGTCTCACTCCAGTCATCTCAACTAGGAGATCTTTCTTTGCATAGAATTGGCACAAAAAAAAAAAAAAAAAAAAAAAANGGAAAAAAAAAAAAAAAAAAAAAAAAAAAACCTCAGGTAAAACAAAGAAAGAAAGAAAAACAAAACATCGCAAAGGGACTAAACGCAAATTGCTAAAGAGCAAAAAAGACGGACGATCGTCTTCAAGGCCCTCCACCGCAGTGATTCGAACGAGCGCCCCAACCCCTTTAGGAAAACCAGAACCTTTGGGGAGGTATTTGATTTATTAAGAATGAGCTGTTTTACCAACTAGGCCACTTGGCCGATCTCTGTTGAACTGGTTGACGTATCTTCGGACGGAACAAACAGGCAGGCAGGCCCGGGTCTTTCGTGAGGAAGGTGTGTGACTGAAGTGAGGAAGGAGCTGTGCTAGCCGATTACGCGAGCGACAACGAGAAAAGGACGCGTGCCAGCTACCTTGGGTACCCTAGTACCGCCTACCTTCCGTCAACCCAAGGTAAACGATCCCCGATACTTTCGTTCCTGCACCTATTTCTTGAATGATTTCCCCGGGCAGCCCCTTTTCCTCACCTCAGTACCTAGATATAGTATTGTACCGCAAGTTATCAAGTCACAGCCACGAACGTTGCAAATTCAACTCCCGCCCCAAGTCAAGTTCGCGCTGGGATTTGCTGTCGGTCTTCGGGAACAAAGTAGAATTAGGCCGTCGTGGTGCTACGCTTGCGAATGTCACCGACATATGAACAAGGGAAGTCTTTATGATACACTAGCCTGTAAACGGTATCTCATACACTCTATACCCTAATCTCCTCGAAATCACAACCCCCCCCGGCAGATTTAGTACTTGGGCTTCATGGTGGCCCTAAGTCTGGCGTAGTCGAAGAGACCCTCAATGTTCCCAACGGCGCTGATGGCGATGTCCTGGTCCCAAAGCTTCCTGCTGGCAAAGTCCATAACATCCTTCTCGGTAATAGCGTCGATGGTGCGCTCGATCTCGGCGGGGCTGGCACGGCGGCCGGTGGTGATGAGCTGGCGGCCGATGTCCTCGGCGATGGCAGTGGTGCCATCGAGGGACAGGAGAATAGAAGCCTTGAGCTGGGCCTTGGCGCGCTCAGTCTCGGCCTCGCTGACGTTACGGCTCAGACGCATCCACTCGCGCTGAGCGAAGTAGACGAGGTCGTCGATGCGGTCAGCCTTGTCGGTGACGAGGTAGATACCCCAGAGACTGTCCATAGTTAGCAAGAATCAATGACAAAATCAGCCAGGGGCTGCTCACCCAGTGTCGCTGTAGCTGGTAGAGAAGGACATGAAGCTGTTGGCGATGTCGTGCTTGTGGACGAAGCCGCTAAGCTTGCTGCCCTGGTGGGGGGCGTTGCCAATGGCCTTGTCGTAGTTGCCAACGATGGCCTGAGCAACAAGAGCAGTGTAGTAGTCGTCGCTGTTCCAGCTGACACCCTCAACGGCGATGGCGATGTTGGCAGTGGGGATGTTGTCGTCGCGAACACGGACATCGGAACCGATGAAGTCGGCCTTCTGCTTGGAGAGCAGGTAAGCCTGGGTCTGGGGGCTGGTGGAGGCAAGGCCGCCGAAGTTCTTCTCGGCGAGCTCGACGAGCTTCTCGTGGGGGATACCGCCAGCGCCGACGAGGACCATGCGGTCAGCGGTGTAGTTGTTCTTGATGTAACTGGTGAGCTCGGTGCGGGTGATGTCGCGGATGTTCTCACGGGGGCCGAGGATGGTGCGACCGAGGGGCTGGTGCTGGTAGGCGGTGGCGTGAAGGTGGTCGAAGACAACCTCCTCCATCTGCTTCTCGACCTCCTCGGACTCGCGGAGGATGACGTCGCGCTCGCGCTCAATGGCAGACTCCTCGAGCTTGGAGTTCTGGAGAATATCGGCGAGGATGTCGACGCACTGGGGAACGTCGGAGTTGAAGGCCTTGGCGAAGTAGACGGTGTTCTCGCGCTATCCAGTGTCAATGGGGAGGACTTTGTGATTAGTTCGGTCGAGAGGAACGAACCGAGGTGTAGGCGTTCAGGTGACCACCCATGTTCTCGATCTCGAGCTCGAGCTGCTGTTGCGTTCGGTTCGAGGTACCCTAGATTGGTGTTAAGCGGGAGTTCTTCATGGCATTGGCGGCGCATCGATGGCCTACCTTGAAGGCAAGGTGCTCGAGGAAGTGGGCGGTGCCATTGGTCTCGTCGGTCTCAGCCCTTGAGCCGGCATCGATCCAAACACCGACGGTGGAGGTCTGGGCGAAGGGGGAGTAGTCGGTAGCGACCTGTGAATCCGACGTCAGTATCTTGTCGCGACGGGCGTGGTGACGCCAATTGAGTGACAGGGAGGGCAGGCGGAGGCGATGGGTATCGTACCGTCAGTCCGTTCTTCAAGGTTGTCGTCTGAGTCTTGCCGAAGGGGGTGCTGGCGGGCGTGGCGAAGCCCCGGGTGAGAGGGCTCGCTCTGGAAAGAGCTGCCCGGCTTCGCAGCCCCTGCGAGAGGTTCAAAGCTAGTCTCCGGGACGCCATGGCGGAGTTGTGGAGGATAGGGAGTGATATGAGGTGTTTGTGAAATCTTTCGATGAGGTTTCGGCTCAGAATTCAGAAAGCTTTCTGGGGCGGTGGGTGCCTTGGATGCCAGGCGCCAACCACTTTGGCCCCGAATTGTTCCGGGCGTGGCCAATCAGGGCACGTTTAATTCCAACTCTGCGATGGGGCGGTACGTACCGCAATGCTGCAATTGGGTGCCATCCGAGATCCGTTCACAGGCATCTTTCACTCATTGATATCATCACTCCAACAACATCGACATGTCTCTCGAAACCTGCACCACGATCAATTGACCCAAAGCTCACGATGCTGCCCTCCAGCGACGGACTTCTCACTTCCCCTTCGACCACACGAACATCTGCGCACATCTCAAACGGCGTTGGCCGAGGCATGCGCAACGTTGCTGGGCACCGTCCGTCGAGTATTTTTGTGCTGGCAGCAGCTGCCAATTGGCCAATTAAGCGGATCCTGCCCGTGCCCAGGCGGCCGGCGGTTGCGTCAATGGAAGTTCCATTTGCGCAGCTGAGACTCTATCTGGCTGGCTGTTAGTGCAGCAGGTCACAAGACTGCCTTTTGACTTCCTCTGCAGATGTCGCCCATCCCATGCTTCTGCGTCGGTGCCATACTGTGTCACATTAACCCAACTCTACCTTACCTTCGTAGTTGATCCAAACCCCCTCATTCAACTGGTCCACATACATCTGAGAGCAATCCGTACATCCCACCGTCTGCACCAGGACCAGGCCATCTCACCATTGACTTGTATGACATCAAGATGCCATCAGACAACTACAATTTCGTCGACGAATTCCAAAAGTTGTTCGTTTCCAAACAGAAGCCAGCTCCTGAGCCCATCACCGACAACATGAAAGCAATAATTCAGAGCTACCCTCCTTTGGGTCAGTTTACCCAGGTCTCGACTGGGCAGCTGACGTTGACGGCCGTTCTCGAGATACCTGCTTCGCGTGCAGACGAGCCATGGGAAGTTGCTTTATGGCAGTCCAGCGATCGAGGCGAATGGTCCGAAGTGGTTTTGCCTCGGATTCCTGATGCTGATAGCCCGACGACTCTGCAGACAGCTCCAGACCACGTCCGCCGTTTCTTCTTCTCTGCCTCTCTTTCGATTGACAAGACGCTTCAATTCACACTGAAGTTCAGACATTCGGATGCCGACTCATGGCGATGGACCCGTGATGAACTTGGTGTTGGTGACGGCAACGTCGTCGTGAGCACGGCCCCGGTGCTTCAAAGCGTCTCGGAGCACCTCGAAGATATCGTGGCAGGCTTCAATCCTGCATGGAATGTGAAATCTCTCATGAGCCAGTGCCCTGGCACTCGTCTATGGTCACTGGAAACCGGCGTAGACGCCGTCGACAGCGACAGCGACGAGTCCAAGATTGCTAACATCTCGTTGGGCATGCCATGGGGAAGCTTCCAGAGGTAAGCCTAGGTCATTAGCCGCTACAAATCCTACGACCCACCAGATAGCTGTATCATACGGTCAGCGGCTGGGATGTACATTTTTCAGGAAACTGACGGGGACAGATGGTTTGCTCTCGTTCGTATTTGGAGTCCCTGGCTAGCCCCCCGCCATGGCAAGACCTCGTTTCATCTCGACAAAGACGCTGTTCTATGCTCATTCCTGAGTTCCGAAGGCAAGCATCTCGTGTTCCTTGCCGTAAGCGGGGTCAACAATGTGCTATCTGTTTTCCGTCACGATGATGCTGGGCAGATCTCCGTTCATGTGCGTTTAAATCTCGTGACCAGACGTTGTGGTCTATGGTTGACATTGACAGGCTCGTAACGACGGATCCTCGTCAGAGAACGCAAAAATCCTCGTTGCTATTGGTGACAACTTCGAGAGCGCGAATGCTGCCGTAATGTACCAGGCGAGACACTTTGTCATCACAGAGAAGAAAGCCAGCAATGAGTTGCAGGCCGAGATGAAAGCCATCGAAGAAGGCGTCAAGCCGGAATGGATGGAGAACTGGTATGACGGACTCGGCTTCTGTAAGCAATATCCGACATATAAACCTGAAAGCATTTGGCTGATGTGGCTGGCTAGGTACATGGAACGCGCTTGGGCAACGTCTCACAGACGAGAAGGTGTTCGACGCTGTCGACAAACTGGCCGAGAACAACATCAAAGTCACCAGTCTCATCATCGACGACAACTGGCAGACCATCGATTACAGAGGCCACGGCCAATTCCAACATGGTTGGTGTGAGTTTGAAGCCGAGCCGAAGGCTTTCCCAAAGGGTCTCAAAGCGACGGTCGCCCACATTCGAGAGAAACATCCTCATATCCAGCACATTGCTGTGTGGCATGCCCTACTAGGTGAGATACTTCAAAGCATGTGCGGTTGGCAGGACTAATTTTCAAGGTTACTGGGCGGGTATCTCTCCGGATGGCAAGATTGCCAAGGAATACAAGACGGTTGAGATCGTTCGAGAAGATGCCGAGCGACGGAACCTACCTCTTGGTGGAAAGATGACTGTTGTAGCCAGAGAGGACGTCGACAAGTTCTACAATGACTTCTACAAGTTCCTCGTCGACTGTGGCATCGACGGTGTCAAGACAGATGCCCAGTTCATGACAGACACATGGGTCTCAGCCACCGCCCGTCGCGAGCTCATTGATGCCTATCTGGATGCATGGACGATATCCTCACTACGCCACTTTAGCATTAAAGCCATATCTTGCATGTCGCAAACACCACAAATCCTATTCTACAACCAGCTTCCTCGGAACAAGCCCGCGATTCTCTGCCGAAATTCAGACGACTTCTTCCCTGAGATCCCAGCCTCACACCCTTGGCACGTATGGACCAACGCCCACAACAGCTTACTCACGCAGCACCTGAACATTCTACCAGACTGGGACATGTTCCAGACCGTACACGATTACTCTGGCTTCCATGCCGCAGCGCGATGCGTCAGTGGTGGGCCGATCTACATCACCGACGTCCCGGGACAGCATAACTTGGATCTCATCAAGCAGATGACAGGGTTGACGATCCGAGGAAAGACTGTCATCTTCCGTCCCAGCGTCATAGGGAAGACCATCGATCCGTACACTGGATACGACGATGATGGCCTGTTGAAGATCGGTTGCTACCACGGCAAAGCCGTGACGGGCACTCCCATTCTGGGCGTTTTCAATATCTCGGCCCGATCCTTGACAGAGATCATCCCCCTCAGCTCCTTCGCTGGCGTTCTGCCTTCCATGCGCTACGTCGTTCGTGCCCACTCGTCTGGAAAAGTCAGCTCGCCTGTCACCCCGGGCACACCAGCTTCCGCTCTCACTACTTCGGTGGACGTACGCGGGTATGAGATATTCACTGCATACCCTCTTTCCAGCTTTGACAGTGAGTCAAAGGGCAAAGTGTGGACGGCCAACTTGGGCCTCGTGGGGAAGATGACAGGAGCAGCGGCGATAGTCAACAGTGATTTCTTACTGCGACATGACGGTAAAGTCGAGCTCAAAACCCGTCTCAAGGCATTGGGCGTTCTTGGTAAGTTCCCAAGCTTCCCTGAAGAAGGACTTAAACTCAACATCATGTCCAGGTCTGTACATCTCTAAACTGCCTGAGCTTACCATCCACGACGATTTCCTCGTGACTATCCAAAACTCGGTCATCCCTGTCAGCGCAGTGTCTGTTTGCAAGAATGACGACAAGGTCCTTGAGATTGATATCGAGAAGGCTTGGGAGGAGATGGGCTTGCACCCGGGTTGGAGTAATGAGGTTGAGATGACTGTCACTTTCGCCATCGACCACGAACAGGCGGAGGACTAAGAAGAATCGGTGTCCATCCCATCATCCAGAACATCGAAGTAGATAGATCGCATTCAAATCGCATGAACTGTCATTTTTCATCATCACCATGCTCACCTGATCCTCGCGCAACCAAACGCATGGCCCCCAACTCACTTCCTAACCTTCTCATGCGGCTGCAAGTCCAACAAATTCGCCTCCCACGAGAGAGTCGCAGGTATCTCCTGCTCCAAGCTCTTGTCTCTGCCTTCCCACCCAAAGTACTTGCGCGCCCTCTCCGCCTTGCTCTTCGAGTTGAGGCCCCAGCTGTTATTCGACACCCCCTCCGACTGCAGCGCCTCCTTCATCGTCGCCTCCTTGGTCAACGGCGCAGGCAGATACCCCTGCTTATACGCCTCCTCCGCGATCCACCGCGCGACCTCGCTCCAGACGTGGTTGCCGCTCTCGACGAAGTAGTACGCCCGCGGCCCAAACACCTCCGCGTCGGCATTCTTTCCGGCGTCTTGCGTCGCGTCGGCGAGCGTCACGAAGAAGGCCGACAGGTCGTGCACGTGCACATTGTTCCACTCCGTCTTGCCGGGCGCGATGATCGGCGCGAAGCCCTTCTCGAGCGTGGCCCTGGCAAGGGCGGGGACCTGGATGGAGCGTTGGTTGACGGGCCCGCGGCCCTGGCCGTAGATCGTGGGCGGGGAGACGATGGCGGTGCGGACGGCGGGGGAGGAGTTCGCGGCGAGGACGATCTTGTCGACGTTGCGGTGGATGGCCTCGTCGGGGAGGCTGAGCAGGCGGTCGATGTCGCGGATGTCGTGGTAGTCTTGCTCCGGGAGGGGGGCCTCGCCGTAGCGTTCGTGCTTTTGGTCGTACTGTCGGCCCCTCGTGCGTTAGACAAAACGACGGGACAGAAGGGGGTAGTGTTCGTACCCATTGCAGAATTCCCGTGCCCGAGACGTGAAGCCAGAAGCCGGGCTTCTCGGGAGTGTGGCCCTCGGCGAGACCCTTCGCGATGGCTTGGGCTGAAGGGACGTCATCCGCAGAGTCGGCGGTGTCTAAGAGACGGCAGTCAACATTCAGCACATCAAAGGTGCAGATACTGCATTCTCCATGCAAGCTCCAATGAGCAGGAAACATGACGTACGGACAACAATGTCGGCGGCAGCGGCCTCCTTCGCGATGATGTCCGAGTCGGTCAGGGTGCCCACCACGATGCGAACATTGGCGTTCGGATAGGCCTTCTTCACAGGTGCTGCACGCTCCTCGGAGCGGACGAGGAGCGCATACTCGTAGTCCGGGTGCTTCTCATGGAGGGCATGGAAGGCGTCGCCCCCGATGTAGCCTGTGTGAGAGTGTAAGCCGAAAACCGGCCCAGGTCAAGAGAGGTAAGCGTTTGGTACCCGTCACGCCGGTGCTGTGATGTTAGGTTAATTAGCGAGGAGCGCTTTGTAAATCGATTCGCGGACGACTCACAGGAAAATCTTGAGGGTCATTTCGTTGGATTGTTCGTGGGATTTGCTGATTTGTGTGAATGAGACGCTTGGCACTCGTGAGGGACGAACGTGTTGGGCGTCGTGTTTATTATATGAAAGTCAACCCCGCATCGCCTACTATGCCAAGGGATGTCTACCAGTTCATTGACGCTTAATAATTACACTGCAGCCGCCCGAATTATGAAACCCAAACAGCTGTCTAAGTCCGGGGATGTATTCGACAGTTTCCCAAGTAGATCCCCCTCTTCTGACACCAAGCTCCCTGCGGAAGGGTCGTGAGCTAGAGGTGGGGTATCTAATGTGAATCGAGGGGCAGGGCGCGGCGGGTGACATCATGGCCATCACGTCTTCGCGGGGTCCTCGCCATATGTGGTGTGTTTGTGTTGCACTGTCCTGTAGATCCGGGTTGACGATCCGTTTGTCATGTCCCACTTGTTCCCGGTGAAAGGAGTCAGTGTCGGAAATAAAACAAAATTTGCATACAGCTGGCTTGTTGGCGGAGCGTTAGTATTTTATCAACATTCTGCGATCGTATGTTAATAGCCGGGTGGCTCGTGGTACAATTGGGGATGACTTGGGTGAGTCTGGAGGCGAATGACACACGTGTAAGTGAGACGTCAGCTTTAGGGCAACACCATCTCTAAACCAAACAGTAAAAACTGATAGGAAAGGGTGAACATGCGACTAGAGTAAATGTATCCGAAGTGAAGAATAGTGAGGGCTAGGGACATGAGTAGAATAACAGCAGAGGCAAAAAGCATGTAGGGACTACAGGAGATATAGTCATCAAGGTACGGGAAAGCCATGTAGTCTCTTCCTTTAGTACAAGTCTTGCTGCATAACATTACTTACTTCATCACAGATGAGTAGTCCTACAGAACCCCTTAACTCGAACAAGGGATCAAGCGGTCCCGAGAATGTGTCTCGAGGACTGAGCCATCGGAACAGCTTTAGAAGATATTCGATCAGAGATCCTCAAGATATTGGCGGTGTCTAAGCAGTTTCTACCATTGTACATGGCGCATAGCGAGAACGAACCGATGATGATCGAAGACAACCTATATTCAAGAGAGCCAAAGGAAAGTATCGTCCTTTAGAACTCACATCAAAAACAGCCTATGATTAGTTGCGGAAAACCATATTCACAACACAAGGTTTGCAGTATTGCGTCTGATGGTGTAGTTTTGCTTCACACTTGGATCGCTGCGCAAGATCTTGCACCATCGCTTGGTTGGTGCGAGCCGATGAAAGTCGGTGACTTCCATTCACATGCGATAGCCAGCCCCCACACTTCGGCGTGTCTTAGACATGCAGCGTGGGATGGCCGTTGGGAGTCACGGCTCACAGTGACGAAACGCCTGGGTAGATTTTCTCTCATGCTGAAATTGGTATTTTGTTTTCAACGCGTTTTGAGTTGTTAGGAACCCAGATTACGCATATCGGCTCGGAATGTGAGCCGATATCTTTGATATATATCATCATCTCTATGAATGGCGTCTCTTCAATCAGTGTGCCTTTCGACTTTTTTTTAAAGTGTTCCTAAACGCCAGCGCGATGTGTGCTGTCGCGCATTGTTCTCCTTGTGGAAAGGAGCCGAAAAAGAAGTCAAGTCTCTCATGCGAGGGTGTTGGGGAAGAATCGTGTCTCGGCAGATTGAGGCCCCTCATTTGGTGCCGACAAGAAAGTTGTTCCAAAATGGGTGATTATGTACGTTGATGGGCTTTTCTCTCATGTTGCATGCCAGAACTGAGATGTGAGACGTTGTCGGCCGCCGGGCCTCGGGAGATAGGTCGGTCGATGGGGACTTATATCGGGGCCGATGCCGGGGGCTCGAAGATCGAGGGTGATTCGATCATGCGTCCTCAAGGAGGATGACGGTCTTGGTGTCGCCGAGCTTCTCGCGTCCGTTGAGACCGGGGATTTCCAGGATGAAGAGGTAGCCAACGATCTCGCCGCCGAGCTGCTTGACGAGGTCTGCCGCCGCCTTTGCGGAGCCGCCTGGTGGGTGGTGTTAGTGGGGCCACTTGCGAAATCGATGGAGGGGCAGAAATCATGGCGGGGCAATTCTGCCGCCCGCCGCATGTCGTAAAACTCACCAGTCGCGATGATGTCGTCGACAACCAGGACCTTCTGGCCCGGCTTGATGGCATCCTGCTGCATCTGGAAGAAATCGGAGCCGTACTCCTTCTGGTACTCGGCGGTGACGCACGGGCCGGGCAGCTTGCCCTGCTTGCGCACCGGGGCGAAACCGGTGCCGAGACGGAGGGCCAGGCCGGGTCCGAAGAGGAAGCCGCGGGCATCGAGGCCGACAACAACGTCGGGAATCTGCTGGCCGAAGGCCTCCTTGACCTGGAGCTCGAGAACGGAGCCGAGGGTCTCGTGGACGGAGGGGTCGAGGAAGAGGGGCATGATGTCGACGAAATCGATGCCCTTGATGGGGAAGTCGGCGAAGTGACGCAGGGCGCTCTGGAGCTTTACCTTCCCACCGGCGAGTTCGGGGGAGGCGGCGGCGGCGGAGGAGGGCTGTCGTCCCTGGGCATCTTGAGAGGCGTTTGTGTTTGAGGCGGGCACGTCGGCGGTTCCTCGGACGGGATGGGCGGCCAGAGGGTTAATTGGTGCCGGCGAGGCGTCGTTAGACAGAGGAATCTGTTCAGAGGACATGATGAAGAGAGAAGAGAGGAGAGGAGGAGAAAGATAAAGGTAGGTCTCCGGGCGGGCTGGTAATGATATGTGCAGGTACAGACAGTATCTAGGTTGGCAGAGAGAAAATTTTGGGGTCGGATCCCGGAGTGAGTGAAAGGAGGGGTGTGGGACGCGACAACTGGCGGGCAGGTAGAACAGGCACTGCAGGTAGTAGAGCTACGGCCAAGGCCAAGGTTGGCAACCCAAGTGCGGATGGACCAGGTGTTTAGGACACAACCAGGAAAGTCGAGGTACGGGAGGTTTGTATTGTATGTGCTACAGCTACCGAGTACTTGCACCAAAGTCAATAGGTAGGTCAGGTACCTCGATAGGTACCTACCTGCGCATTCATTGCCTTGCGCTGCCTGCCTACCTACCTACCTACTTACCTACCTTACCTAGTAGGTAGGTACCTTGCTGAGGTGCCGTTGCGTGGGACAGGCCTTGTTGACCGAACCAGAAAGGTGTGTGTGCGGTTAGAATTGAGGTGTGTGAGAAAAGACTCATCAGACTGTGGACTTGAAAATCGGAGGCTAGTCCAGCTCGGCTCGCCGGGATTAGGGGAGGAGGGTGGAGGGTGAGACAAGGCAAGGAAGAGTACCTTAGTTGTAGGTCGGTACTGTCGTGTAGGAAAAGACGAAGGAGAAGCACGAAAGCAGGCTGGCAGATGGCGCGCAGAAGGGGCGTTCCGGGTGGTGGTTGTCCAGGATCATGAAGGGACGGACGGGTAGACGAGACGAGGGAGACAGAAAAAAAAAAAAAAAATTGGTGAGAGTGAACGCGCGCCATCGATTAGAGGAGTGGAGAGTTGTGATACGGGTAGGGTGTCACTACGGCGGTACGTGTGGTTCAAAG